AATTTGGAGTATACCCCATATTGGGTAGTAGGGCAACCTTTTCCACCTACCCCTGTCTATGACTTGGTCTCTGAGGGGCCCTACCCAGTGAAGATGCAGTTGCACTGAAACACGCTGAGACCTTGTGTGCTGGGTGGTGGTGATTGCTCCCGGAGGCCTGCCGATGACCAGAAAGCATTAATATCTGCCGATCTTCCACCAGTACATGAGGCCCCACTGACTGGTTCCTGCTGCCTCTTGTGCTTGAGTCTATGGCCCCCGACAGCCCTGAGTCTGCTAGTTCTGATGTTGAGAGCTCAGCCGAACCCAGCCACCCCATCCAGTGCCACAGATGGTACTGATATGTTGAAAGATCCTACTTGGGGCCCAGGTGATGGGAAACCTGAAGACACAGATGACCCCTTGACACTTGAGGTCCCCAAGTCTCTACCTGACAATGAACCTCTGTTAAGTGACTCTGCTGAAGATCACCATCCTGTGCAGCCTAATCGTGGATGACTTCCTGTAAGAATCTCTGATTATGTTGTTTGACTATGTTTATTGGTTCTGCATTTACCTGCCCTATTGCCCTTTTGTTGCTGTTCTATTAAGTTGCAATGCCTAGGACAGCATCTCTTAAAGGGGGGTGGAATGTATTCAGATGCAGTCTGTGTTGTCCACCATAGGTGGCGCTCAAACGAGTGGTACTACATTCTGGAGAGGAAGTCAAGGGAAACCTAGTTTCTCTATGGTTTCCTGGGTCACAAAACCAACGTTTCTGGTTGGCTACGCTGCATCCATGTCAACCCTGGAGGCCTTCTTGGGTCAGCAGGGTCTTTATAAGTCTATGCCCCTGGGTTTTGGCATGCATTTTGTGAAGTGGGCAGAGTAGGGAGAGATACCCCACCTGACAGGTAAAGTGACTAGTGGCAGGGAAAGGTTTCTGATGAGTAGGGACTCGCTATCATCAGTGAAGCTTCCCTTTGGGACCAGGACCAGACTTCGCCGTCTGAAACAGAGGCTGTCGGTGCATCTTTTCTTGCTGCACCTCTACATTTGAACTGAACTGTGAGTGTTTTCCCTAAGCTGTTTGGCGTTCTCTTCAATACAAATTCCAAATTGTTTTTGTAACCAACCTTACTGCCGCCGCACGCACCACACTGCACCTCCCTGCAAGCATTTGTAAAGCCAGATACTGATGGTGGAAACTGATCTCCTACACTTTTGTACCAGTTATTTCCAAAATAGTTCAGTAGGGCTGAGACCAGAGCTGTGCGCAGGCTACTCAAGTTCCTCCACATCAGACTCATCAAACCTTGTCTTTATGGAGCTGGCTTTGTACACAGGGGTAAAGTCATACTGGAACAGAAAAGGCCCTTCCCCAAACTGTTGGAAGAGCACAGTTGCCTAAAATGCCTTTGCATGGTGTAGTAGTAAAACATAAGCTGTAAATTTAATTTGGGCTTCTGCTGTAGCTACAGGATTCAGAATTGTTTAGTTTGGCTTTAGATCCAGAAGCACTATAGGAGAAGCTTCTGGAGATTAGGGCAGGAGGAGTCAGATACTCGGCCTGAATATTTAGTAGGGCCTATCCAATCTCTGGGGAGGTGTGTCTAGATGGTGGATGGGTTTCCTGTTAAATGGGCTGGAGTCCAGAGGAGATTGTCTTTCCCCTGAGTGGGAATGGATCTGTGAGCCCCAGGGGCTGCTTGCCCTGGGGCACTCCTGGGTTGAAAGCTGTACTGTGTACGTTCTAGGATCCCATGAATAGAGCCTCTTCACTTGTGCTGAAGTTTTCATGGTCTCCAGCCATGAAACGTGGGCTCCTTCAGTATCTTACATGCTTGACACTTTGTTGCATGGTAGGGTCGGATCTGGGGGGGGGGGGGGTGCAGGGGTGGGCTGTGCCCCCCAGATTTTAGCTGTTCTCCCCCCCCCCCGGTCTCTGAGAGTGCATACACTGATCTATGAACCTGATGTAAAGGGGGCACTCCAATGGGGATAACTCTTCATGTGTAGGAGAACACTTCGATGGGGACACCTGATTTAAGGGGGCACTCTGATAGGGACACCTGATTTAAGGGGGCACTCTGATTGTGACATCTGATACAAGGGGGCACAGATTCTGTTTAATCACCCTAATCTAATGACAAGCTAAAACATACTAGTGTTCCTCAGGTCTTTAGACCGTGTAACAGACTGTCAGTGACTCACACAGAGTGTTGACATTATGCCCCCTGACTTTTTTTTTACTGCACCCCCCAGGTTACGTAGCCTAGATCCAGCCCTGTTTCATGGTATCCAGCTGTATGCTTAACACAGTTCTAGCTTGCTTACTACTACCTCCCTCCTGTGATTACTATTGCTAATACCAGGGGCGGACTGACAACTCATGGGGCCCCCGGACAATAGGGGATCATGGGGCCCCTGTGTCCTTGCCCAAACTCAAAAAAGCCTATGAAAAAGGTACCAGGGGCATCTCATGGGGCCCCCTACTGACCCTCGGGCCCTCGGGCAGTGCCCGAGTTTCCAAACGGTCAGTCCGCCCCTAGCTACTACTAAGAGAAAAGGATCTTCCGTTAGCAACCTTTTTTGTTCTGCATTTTTCTGCACCTCTCCAGATCCCCCCCCCCCCCAAGTTCTGCTAACAATACATTTACTAAAAGGCACCCTCTAGACCAGGGGTCTCCAAACTGCGGCCCAAGGGCCAGATGTGGCCCTTTGCTAGCCTTTATCCGGCCCTTGGGGCACTATTCCTCCCAATGATAAGACACAGTATGACATCAACAATGGGGCACTATTTCTTCCACTGATATGGGGTACTATTCCTCCCCATTAATACCAATGATGGGGCACTACTCTTCCTCCTACTGACCACCACCCTGAGGCCATGTTTATTCTTGCTGATGCTGGGCTTGAAACATTTTCTACCCCCACTAGTCACACTCCAATTTTCTTAAAGTCTGAGGGACCATAACGGCACTTTGTTTGGAAAACTTGGAGACCCCTGCTCTCGACTGTTTTATTGAGCCAGAGTGGATGTATAGCTGCTGTTGTGTGCCTGGCTGCTTTGCCCTAATTTCGAAAACAACTTTTTTAAATCCACAGCGGCCCCGACAGGGGTGAATGCTACACTGGAAGTATCTGAACTTAATAATTTTAAAGGGTTGTACCAGGGGCGTACTGACAACTCATGGGGCCCCTGGGCAGTAGGGGATCATGGGGCCCCCTGTGTCCTTGCCCAAACTCAAAAAAACTATGAAAAAGGTACCAGGGGAATCTCATGGGGCCCCTACTGACCCCAGGCCCTCGGGCAGTGCCCGAGTTTCCAAATGGTCAGTCCGCCCCTGGGTTGTACACATACTGGAGATTTACTAAAATTGGTGCACACAGAATCTGGTGCCATTGTGCATAGTAGCCAATCAGGTTCGAGGGTTTTATTGTCAAATATTAGTTGAACAAGCTGAAATTTGAAGTTGAATGGTTACTATCAGGGCTAGAACAAGGGGTGGGTAGTAGGGGTTGCCGCCCAGGGTGCAGCAGTGGGGAGAGGGGCAAACCTTCACCACACACAAGCTCCAACTTGCCTACTCTCTCCTTGCCCTGAGTGCTGAACCACCCTGGTCCTGGTTACTATGCACAACTTCACCAGATTCTGTGGGCTCCAGTTTTAGTAAATCTCTCCACTGTGTCCATATAGGCCAGTGGTGGCCGATGGTCAGGTGTCAACATATTTTTGTGCATATTTATTTTTCTTCCAGCTAAAATAATAACTAAAAAAGGCTGTTTTGCATCTTCTTTTTTTTTTCTAAGTAAACATGTCACATTGTGCAGAAATGTATGACATTTCTAGGAGGATCCTATTAAAATGTATCTAAACAGACGTGGGCGTAGATTGACACACTTAGCTTGATTGCGGGTTCAGGAAAATATGTTCCGCTCATAGAGAGTACTGTAGGCACTGCTGTGTACTGCCAATATTGTGATGGTGTAAAAGCTGGTGCCAGAGCTAATAAGTATAGCTGAAGGGGTTATTAGCAATTTCGTCATACATTCATTAAATGGTTCTTGGAGGAGATACAGCATTTTTTATTCACATTTAATAATTCCACATTGTACATTTATATATTAGTGAAAGATGAAATATGAAGAAAAAAGTGACAGCTTACAGTTGTTTCCTCCTTTTTCTGTCCTTTTTTTATTTTGCACCATATTTTCCATTTTTTTTTCCTACTGTACATTATCAAGCTCTACTCATTTTTAGTGGAGAATTTATCCATGTTTTTTTTTTTAAATATATATATGTATATATATATATTATATATATATATATGTGTGTGTGTGTATGTATGTGCATGTATATGTATATATATGTGTGTGTGTGTGTGTATATATATATATATATATATGTGTGTGTGTGTGTATGTATGTGCATGTATATGTATATGTGTGTGTGTGTGTGTGTGTATATATATATATATATATATATATATATTTGTCTTTATTTAGTAGTTACACTGGAACATATACACTCACCGGCTACTTTATTAGGTACACCTTGCTAGAACCGGGTTGGACCCCATTTTGCCTTCAGAACTGCCTTAAAGTGTTACTAAACCCACAACCGTAAAATCAGTCTGTATATGCAGTAAAGCATGCTTGTTATACTCACTGTGGAACCTTTTTCAAGCTACCACCTCTTATCTCCTGATAAGACAGACTGAAGAGTAGGCATTTTGCACAAGCTCAATTAGGTGTGTATTGCTAGAGAGGTTTTTTTTTTTTTCTCGGGAGAGTGCATGTGATCAGCACAGGGACAATGAGCACTATCCAGACAGAGGTCAGGGGTCCTCCTACAAGCTTGAACATGTGCTTTGCTAGATACTGATAGAAGTCACAAGACAGTTTCTTACTGCTGATGAAGTTATTTAGCAGTTTATATTTACTAAAATAATTGCATTTCTTTGTTGTGTGTACTGTGGGAGACCAGATATAGTCAATACAGGGTCCTGTGAGAGTGGATATAGTGAATGCAGGGTCCGGGGAGACCGGATATAGTGAGTGCAGGGTCCTGCGAGACCGGATATAGTGAGTGCAGGGTCCGGGGAGACCAGATATAGGGAATGCAGGGTCCGGGGAGACCGGATATAGTGACTGCAGGGTCCGGGGAGACCAGATATAGGGAATGCAGGGTCCGGGGGAGACCGGATATAGTGAATGCAGGGTCCGGGGAGACCGGATATAGTGAATGCAGGGTCCTGGGAGACCGGATATAGTGAATGCAGGGTCCTGGGAGACCGGATATAGTGAATGCAGGGTCCGGGGAGACCGGATAGAATGCAGGGTCCGGGAGACCAGATATAGGGAATGCAGGGTCCGGGGAGACCGGATATAGTGAATGCAGGGTCCGGGGGGGAGACCGGATATAGTGAATGCAGGGTCCTGGGAGACCGGATATAGTGAATGCAGGGTCCTGGGAGACCGGATATAGTGAATACAGGGTCCAGGGTTTAGCAACACTTTAATTCTTCGTGGCATAGATTCAACAAGGTGTTGTAAACATTCCTCAGATTTTGGTCCATATTGACATGAGTTACTGTTGCCTTTCTATTATCTCGAACCAGTCTGCCCATTCTCCTCTGACATCAACAAGTTCTTTTCGTCCACACAACTGCCGCTCACTGGATATCTTCTCCTTTTCGGACCATTCTCTCTAAACCCTAGAGATGGTTGTGCGTGAAAATCCCAGTAGATCAGCAGTTTTTGAAATACCGTATTTTCCGGCGTATAAGACGACTGGGCGTATAAGACGACCCCCTACTTTTCCTGTTAAAATATAGTGTTTGGGCTATACTCACCGTATAAGACTACCAGTGGGAAGAATCGTGCCCCATCATTGGTGTCAGTGGGAGGAATAGCACCCCATCATTGGTATTAGTTGGAGGAATAGCACCCCATCATTGGTGTCAGTGGGAGGAATCGTGTCCCATCATTGGTGTCAGTGGGAGGAATCATGCCCCATCATTGGTGTCTGTGGGAGGAATAGCACCCTATCATTGGTGTCAGTGGAGGAATAGCGCCCCATCATTGGTGTCAGTGGGAGGAATCGTGTCCCATCATTGGTATCAGTGGCAGGAATAGTGCCCCATCATTAGTATCAGTGGGGGGAATAGTGCCCCATCTTTGGTGTCAGTGGGAAGAATCGTGCCCCATCATTGGTGTCAGTGGGAAGAATCGTGTCCCAACATTGGTGTCAGTGGGAGGAATAGTGTCCCAACATTGGTGTCAGTGGGAGTAATAGTATCCCATCATTGGTTGTCAGTGGGGGGTGGAATAGTGCCCCATCATTGGTGTCAGTGGGGGGGGGGGGGGGGGAGGAATAGTGCCCCATCGTTGGTGTCAGTGGGGGGGAGGAAAAGTGCCCCATCGTTGGTGTCAGTGGGAGGAATAATGCCCCATCATTGGTATCAGTGACACCAATGATGGGGCACTATTCCTCCCACTGACACCAATTGACATCTGAAAACGCTTTGCTATCTTCTTATAGCCTTCTCCAACTTTGTGAGCGTCAACTATTTTCAGTTTCAGTTTTCTAGACAACTGCTTAGAAGAACCCATGGTGCTGATTGTTGAGGCAAGGTCAGATGAGTCTGGGCATTTAAAACCTTTGAGATTGACGTAACCTGGTCTTCCCAGACGATGACTGAGAACAATCCATGACACTGGTAGGTCTCAGCTTTGCAAAGGGGGCAGTACAAGATATTAACTCTGCAGGGTGCCCAAACTTTTTGCAGACGCCATTTTTTTGTTTTCTGTTATTTTGAAAGTGTAAATGATGGAAATAAAATCTAACTTTTGTTGACATATTATAAGAATGTCTAATCTGTAATTTGATGCCTTTTGGAGATTTTTCCATCTTTCCTTGGCTTCTTTATGCACATTAATACAAATTTTTAGCTGGGGTGCCCAAACTTTCGATCCCCACTGTATATATATAGAAATGCGTTTTAATTGCAAAACATTTTTAAAAATACATTTCAAATATACTGTATGTCTTTAAATATACAAATCTACATTTTTGGAATGCATTTACAAATATATGTTAAAATGACTTTTTAATATGTTAAAAAAAATCTGAAGAATATTTAAAAAAAATATATATATTTTTTTAAAATATATATTTTTTAAATATGTTCAGATTTTTTTTTAACATATAAAAAAAATTCCTTTTAACATATATATTTACATATATTTGTAAATGCATTCCAAAAATGAAGATTTGTATTTTTAAAGACATTCAGTATATTTGAAATGTATTTTTAGAAATATTTTTAGAAATATTTTTCATATATTTTGTAATAAAAAAGCATTTAACCACATGCCACCCAGGCACTGTAGAAATATGGCGGCACGGCTGGGCAAAACCACGTTTTAAAACATGTGTTTTTAAAACAGGTAGGGGGCGCGTGTGCGAGGCGCGCCGACGGCCTACCTGTCCCGCCGATGTCAGTCGCCGGGTCACAGCCAGTCGTTACCGGCTATGTCCCGGCGATCGGCGGCAATCAGTGACAGAGCACAGCTGCAATAGCTGTGCTTTCTGTCAGTTCCCCGACAGCTCCTGAGAAGAGTTTATCTGTCCTGACCAGCAGTGTTCCCTGCAATACACACCCCCGCCCCCTAGTAAAACACTCCCCTCACACAGTTAACCCTTTCACTGAATAATAGTTAACCCCTTCCTCCCCAGTGCCATTAGTACAGTGTCAGTGTTTTTTTTTTTTTTTTGCACTGATCACTGTATTGGTGTCACTGGGGATGTCAGTGACCCCAAGTCAGTTCCCCCCCCCCAGTGGCAGAATGTCCCGCCGCAGTCCCACCATAAGTCGCTGATCGCCGCCATAAGTCACTGATCGCCGCCATAAGTCGCTGATCGCCGCCATTATTAGTATGAAAAAAAATTAAAAAATCCCAGTATCTTTCCCACCATTTATAAACGCTATAACTCTCATGTAAACCAATTAATTTACATGTATTGGGGTTTTTTTTTTTTTAGCAAAGACATGTCACAGAATGCATTTTGGCAGACATTTATGACTAAATTTGATTTTTAAATTTTCTTTTTACTGGACATGTTTTATAGCAAAAAGTCCAAAATATCGTTTTTTGTTCCTCAAAATTGTCAGCCATTTTTTTTTTTTTTTATAGTGCAAAAAATACCACTAAAAGAAAGCTCAATTTGTGGGGAAAAAAAGGATGTAAATTTCATTTATTTACTATATTGCATGACCGCGCAATTGTCCGTTAAACTAGTGCAGCGCTGTATAGCTAAAAAATGGTGTAAATTGCAGTATCTATACCATAGTTTGTAGACGCTATAACTTCCACACAAAGCAATCAATATACACTTATTGGGATTTTTTTTACCAAAAACACGTAGCAGAATACATTTTGGTCTAAATTTACAACCAACTTTGAGTTTACTATATATTTTTTTTATAGCTAAATGTAAAAAATATTGTTTTTTCTTAAAAATTTGTGGTCTTTTTTTATTCATAGCGTGAAAAATAAAAAGCGCACAGGTGATCAAATACCACCGAAAGAAATCTCTATTTGTGTTAAAAAAAGGACGTAAATTTCGTTTGGGTGCAGCATTGCATGACCGCGCAATTATCAGTTGAATTAGTGCAGCGCCGAGTAGCAAAAAGAGGCCTGGTCATTAAGGGGGGTAAATCCTCAGGAGGGCAAGTGGTTAAACATGCTGTGTGTGTGTGTGTGTGTGTGTATATATATATATATATATTCATTGAAATATATTGAATATGGCCATAATTGTAGTATTTCAAATATATGGCAATATATTTGGGAGGAATATTTTTAAAATATATTTTTCTTCCATGTGGGTATGCCCCAAAATATAATGGACTAATTGTGGACCTCAGTTTTTCTAAATCACCATCTAACAGCTTTATGACCACCCTCACCTCTGTGACTGTTACTCTCCTTGCAGTCTCTAACCCTCTTCCTACATTTTCTCACTAACTATACAAGTGCAATTACCATTGCTATGTATGTGTTTGTGTTTTTGTTTTTTTTTGTTTTTTATTTTGTTTCTCCAGAGATTGTCTTAGCATTCTGCTAAAACATTGGGGTTGATTTACTAAAGGCAAATAAAAGGCCAATATACTGTGCATGGCAAGCATAGTTGCTACAGAGCTTAGTAAATGAGGTAAAGCTTCATTTTGCAAAGAATACCCAATCACATGCAAGGAACATAAAAAAAAATCAGCATTTTCGCTTGCACATGATCGGATGAGATCTAGATCTGGAGCAACTGTACTTGCAGAACACAGTATATTTACCTTTAGTAAATCAACCCACAGTTTATTCAGACAAGGAGTGGGTGGGAGGGGAAGCTGCTCTGGGCACAATGGTCTACCATAGGGATGGGGGCACCTGACTTCTGTTACGTGGCTGGGCAATTTGGCATCTTTTCCCTGGGCACTGGACGACCTTATCCCAACACTGAGTGTATTAATGCTGGTTGGACCTTGAAGAAGGAGGAACACCTTGAAAGCTTGTGCTGAAAATTTGAATGTTAGTACAAATTAAATAAATAGCACGAGCAGTACTAAATTGTTCAAGTTGACCACCAAAATACAGACCCCTATCTTTAACCTCCCTGGTGGTATTCCCGAATGTAGCTCGGGGTAAAGTTTCAGTACCAAGAGCGGTAACCCCGAGCTACACTCGGGAATACACTGCAGCGTTGCTCTGGGATCCCTCCAGCACTTACCTTGTCCTTCGCTCCCGTGATGTCCCCCCTGCAGCGTCCCCGGCCATCTCCTTCGGCCGATGCCGGCATCCGTCTTCCGGGTTCTGTTCCCTGCGAGCGTCAGGACGTACGGGGACAGAACCGGTGGGAAATGAGAAAATGTTAAAATGTGACATTCACTCAATACACTAATATCACATAATAAAATATTCCTGTATCAAACCATTTCACATACATTTTGTCCCGAGTGCTTTGTCCGGCGCCCTGTCTGCATTTTTACCTGTTCTTTCTGCCTGGAAACTGAGAAACGTCCATGGCGTCCAAAAAGCGTCCCTTTAGGTCAAAAGCGGTTTTAGACCAGCTAGAGAACAGTGATAGTAAATTAGAACCACTTGCAGAATTGAGTGATAATGATTCGTGGGGAAATTCGTCATCAGACACTGAAAACGATTTTACGATTGAACTCAGCGATGTGCGAACTTGGCGCTACTATTTCAGATTTCAGTGTTTTTGGTTTGATTACATTATTGAATTACATTTATTATTATATTATTATTTTTTTTATTATTTATTATATTATAATTTATTATTTTGTGTTTCAAATTTTATCACACCCAGGATGTTTACTAGACTCTTGTTTGGACAG